AACAAATAAAAGGTGTAGCAATGGGCGCAAAGTTTGCCCCCCAGTCTGGCTAACATTTTTCTAGCCAGATGGGAATCAATAGAAATTTATGGAAGACAGTGGGAGGGATTAAAGATTTGGAAAAGATATATTGATGATATATTGGTGGGTGTGGGATAGAACGGTTGATAATTTGGATATATTTTTAGACTACATAAGGGAAAATCAAATCTAATAATAAATTAGAAAAAGAAGAATGAAAAGAAGAAGAAGAAGAATGAAAAGAAGAAGAATGAAAAGAAGAATGAAAAGAAGAAGAAGAATGAAAAGAAGAAGAAGAAGAAGAAGAATGAAAAGAAGAAGAATGAAGAAGAATGAAAAGAAGAAGAATGAAAAGAAGAAGAATGAAAAGAAGAGAAGAATGAAAAGAAGAAGAAGCAGAATGAAAAGAAGAAGAATGAAAAGAAGAATGAAAAGAAGAAGAAGAAGAATGAAAAGAAGAAGAAGAAGAAGAATGAAAGAGAAGAAGAATGAAAAGAAGAAGAAGAAGAATGAAAAGAATGAGAAGAATGAAAAGAATGAGAAGAAGAATGAAAAGAAGAATGAGAAGAATGAAAAGAAGAAGAAGAAGAATGACAAGAAGAATGAAAAGAAGAAGAAAAAGAATGAAAAGAAGAAGAAGAAGAATGAAAAGAAGAATGAAAAGAAGAAGAAGAAAAGAAGAAGAAAAGAAGAAGAAGAAGAAGAATGAAAAGAAGAAGAAGAAGAATGAAAAGAAGAATGAGAAGAAGAATGAAAAGAAGAATGAGAAGAAGAATGAAAAGAAGAATGAAAAGAAGAAGAAGAAGAATGAAAAGAGAAGAATGAAAAGAAGAATGAAGAGAAGAATGAAAAGAAGAAAAGAAGAAGAATGAAAAGAAGAATGAAAAGAAGAAGAAGAATGAAAAGAAGGAGAAGAATGAAAAGAAGAATGAAAAGAAGAAGAAGAATGAAAAGAAGAAGAAGAAGAATGAAAGAAGAAGAAGAATGAAAAGAAGAAGAAGAATGAAAAGAAGAAAAGAAGAAGAATGAAAAGAAGAAGAAGAAGAATGAAAAGAAGAAGAAGAAGAATGAAAAGAAGTAGAAGAAGAATGAAAAGAAGAAGAAGAATGAAAAGAAGAATTCCAGTACAGCAAAAAAGTGTATCTGCAGAGAGCTCCGCTATTTCTGACAGTTCTCTGACAGTTCCTTCACATTTACAGCGGTTGAAACATTGTATCTATTTGTTTCCGAATAAAAACATCTGTATCCTAAATGGAAACAAATAGATACAATGTTTCAACCGCTGTAAATGTGAAGGAACTGTCAGAGAACTGTCAGAAATAGCGGAGCTCTCTGCAGGGACACTTTTTGCCGGCTGTAGAAGGGATGGAAATCGGCCGATCGGGAAAAATTTGATTCGCGCATCCGAAGTTTGCTAATATTCGGATTCGGTGCGAATTGAATTTTTCCTAATATTCGAAACGAATTCCACTTCGCCAAGTTCGATTCGCTCATCTCTAGTTAGAATGTCCCTGCAAATTTCAATATATAGGTAGAACTAAAAGATCACTCAGCGACAGATTAAAAGAGCACGTAAGAAATATTATTAAAGGGAAAAAGGATCACAGTGTATCTAGACACTTTAAGGAATTTCATCACTCAGACCCTAGTGGCCTAAAGTTCTGTGGTATAGATACAGTAGAAGCTCATTGGAGAGGTGGGAATAGGGTTCAGACGTTTTGGATCTACCAGTTGCGCACTTTGAAACCTAGAGGCCCTAATATTGAATTAGACCTTAATTGCTTCATCTCTGATTGGTAATAATAGGGGATTGTAGTATCGAATGCCATAACCCCGTTATGTGTAAGGGGATAGAGGTATTTAATACTGCACTTCCAAATTCTAAAGGGGAATATATTTAAAGTATTTTAGCATTTACTATTTTATTTAATTTAATTTTATTTTATCTATTTATTTAAAAATAAAGAGTTTAATCTACTATACTCCCTAATTTGTTAGGGAAGTAAATATAGGAATTACATGCGTTTAATGGGAGGCACATATGCAAACTGTTGTAATTCCTACACCGTTCACCTGATTTGGATGTAAATACCCTCAAATTAAAGCTGACAGTCTGCAGTTAAAGCACATCTTGTTCGTTTCATTTCAAATCCATTGTGGTGGTGTATAGAGACAAAAATGTTAGAATTGTGTCGATGTCCCAATATTTATGGACCTGACTGTATAAATGTTAGTATCCAGTTATACAGTATTCTGTGTATCTAAGAATCAATCCAGGCCTTTTTTAAAGCAATCCACTGAGCTGGCCAGAACCAACTCTTGAGGGAGTCTATTCCACATTTTCACAGCTCTCACTGTGAAGAAACCTTATCGTGCTTGGAGATTAAATTTCTTTTCCTCCAAACGTAAAGAGTGCCCCCTTGTCCTCTGTGATGACCTCAGGGTGAATAGCTCTATACACCGAGTTCACTATATGAACCACTGATGTATTTATACATGTTGATCATATCCCTCTTAATCTCCTCTTCTCGAGAGAGAATAAAATCAGTCCCTCTAATGTTTCCTCATAGCTGAGCTCCTTAACCTCCTTGGCGGTATTCCCGAGTGTAGCTCGGGGTAACATTTCAGTACCAAAAGCGGTAAACCCCGAGCTACACTCGGGAATACCATGCGGCGCTGCTCCGGCATGTGTTCTTCACTTACCTTACCCTGCCTCCCCCACGATGTGTCCCCTGCAGCGTCCCCGGCCATCTCCTCCGGCCGATGCCGGCATCCGGCTTCTGTGTCCTGTCCCTGTGACGTCGGGACGTACGGGTGCCCGCCGCCGCCGGCGGCGGGAAATTGAAAAATTTTAAAAAAAATGTCATTTTTTTTTTTTTTCATTTTACACAGTAAAACATTGCTGTTTCAACCTATTTCACATACATATTGTCCCTAATGCTTTGTCCTGCGCCCTGCCTGCATTTTGTCTGTTCTTTCTGCCTGGAAACTGAGAAATGTCCATGGCGTCCAAAAAGTGTCCCTTTAGGTCAAAAGCGGTTTAGATCAGCTAGAGAACAGCGATAGTAAATCAGAACCACTTACAGAATTGAGTGATAATGATTCGTGGGGGAAATTCGTCATCAGACACTGAAAACGATTTTGCGACTGAGCTCAGCAATGTGCGAACTTGGCGCTCTATTTCATATTTCAGTGTTTTTGGTTTGATTATATTATTGAATTAAATTTTTTATTATTTTTATATTATTTTTATGATTATTTATTAAATTATAATTTATGATTTTGTGTTTTCAAATTTTATCATACCCGGGATGTTTACTAGACTCTTGTTCGGACAGATTTCAGTGAGTTTTTCCTAAAAATTACAGCCTACAATAAAAAAAATACATATTTCCATGCAAAAAAAATGGTACCGCTTTCAGCACCAAAAATCTGAAATAATCATACCGCCAGGGAGGTTAATGTCTCTTATCAGTTTGGTTGCCCTTCTCTGTACTTTCTCAGTTCCCCAATGTTCTTTTTGTGAACTGGTGCCCAAGACTGAACTGCATATTCCAGATGAGGTATTACTAATGATTTGTACAAGGGTTAATATATCTCTCTCTCTGGAGTCTATACCTCTTTTAATACAAGAGAGGATTTTGCTCACTTTAGAAACCACAGCTTGGCATTGCATGCCATTATTAAGCTTGTGATCTACCAGAACTCCCAGATCCTTCTCCACCATTGATTCCCCCAGTCCTTCTCCACCATTGATTCCCCCAGTTGTACCCCTCCTAGTATGTATGATGCATGCATATTCTTAGCCCCCAAGTGCATAACCTTACATTTATCAACATTAAACCTCATTTGCCGCATAGTTGCCAATTTAACAGCGCATTGAGGTCGGCTTGTAAGTTGGAGACATCCTATATCAGGACGTTACTCCACTGCACAGCTTGGTGTCATCTGCAAAGACTGAAATGGGATTTTTAATCGTTTATAAATATATTAAAAAGTAAGGGTCCCCAACACTGAACCTTGGGGTACACCACTAACAACCCTAGACCATTCAAGTATGAATCATTAACCACTACTCCTCTGAATACGATCTTTTAGCCAGTTTTCTCTCCATTACATACTCATTTTTTCCAAGCCCGTAGACTTTACCTTACACATTAGCCATGTGTGGGGAACTGTGTCAAACACTTTTGCAAAATCCAAGTATACCACGTTCACCGCCCCCCTCTGTCCAAGGTTTTGCTCACCTCCTCATAAAAAGAAATCAGATTTGTTTGACAACTTCTGTCTTTCATGAATCCATGCTGTCTGTTGCTTAAAAATATTTTTTTCCAGCAAGAACTCATCTATATGGTCTTTTATTAAACTCTACAGTATCTTCCCAACTATAGAAATTAAACTATCAGGTCTATAATTACTTGGTAAAGATTTGACCCCTTTTAAATACTGCACCTCATTGGCCTTACGCCAAACCAGTGGTACTATGCCAGTAATTAAAGAGTCCCTAAAAATGAGAAACAATGGCTTTGATATGACAGAGCTCAATTTTTAAGGACCCAAGGGTGTATGCCATCCATCCAGGTGCCTTATTCACCCTTATTCTGTCTGAATATTTTTGGACCATATCAATTGTGAGCCAATGTGGATCATCTGGAGCTGTGTCAATACCATGCCCATTATGAACAAGAGCTCCCCCATGCTCCTTTGTATACACAGAGCTGAAGAAGGTATTTAATAAATTTGCCTTCTCTTTGATCCCAGTCACCCACTCTAGATTATTTTGTAAAGGGCTTACATGCTTGGACCTGACCTTTTTACTATTAATATATTTGAAGAGGTTTTGGGGTTGGTCCTGCTATTTTTTGCAATCTGTTGTTCAGTTTCAATTTTTGCAGCCTTTATTTCCTTTTTGCATAATTTCTGTTATATTTTTTGTAATGTTTAAACGAAGATAGCATTCCTTAATTTTTATATTTAACCACTTCCCGTCTGGCTGTTGTATATAAACGGCCCGGCCGGACGGTGGCAGTGCAGGTCAGGTGGCCGTTTATAAACGGCCTCCCCACACCCTGCTTGTGCGCGCTCCTCCGGACACAGTTGAACACCGATCATCGGGACAGGACCTCTGTGTGAGGTTCCGATCATGTGATCACTGATTGGCCAGTCAGTGATCACATGCAGAAGTAGTAAGCAAGATGTCACTTGTGACATCATTGCTTACTACATGTGAAATCTGTGAATGATCACAGAGGTCACATGGTACAAGGCTATCACAAGAGCCTTGTACCATGTGACAAGCTGTGACCAATCACAGCTCACACAGTAGTTTCCCAATGGCTGCAAGAATGCAGCTAGAGAGAGGAGAAATGATTGCTTTACATCCTTTATGGGTGTAAAAGCAATCAGTGTAAAAAAAAAATAAAAAATCATCGTCCCCCACAAGTAGTACAGTGTCACCATGGTGACACGGTACTGCTAGGGTGACAGTATGTAAAAAAAAAAAAAAAATAATATAAAAAAAAATTTTAAAAAAAAGTTTAAAAAGCAACCAGGATGGCTGCTTCCTAAATTTAACTCCTCGGCCGCCGGACACATCGGCCGATTTTCACTCCTCAGGGGGGGGTCCCTCTGTTTCCTCCCTGGCCCCCTGTCTCTCCAGTGCCCTGATGGCAAAAAAAAACGCTGGCCGCCCGTGCCTCCACTCCCGCAGGCTGCTCCGGAGTTTGCGGCCTACCCGCCGGCGATCGCGGCTGAAGCCGGGCCCTCGATTTTGGGCCGGCCGCCGCGGACTTCCAGGACCCCGGCCTCGGGTTCGCGGCTCTCCCCCGGGACCTCAGATGGAGCCCCAGCCGCGATTTTGGGTCCCCCGCTGTCACCATCCATAGGTGGGTCGACCCTGGCAGTGTGGAGGACCTGGCACCCAGAGCCATCCCTGCAGTCTCCCATCCCATCTCTGCGGGATGCTGAGCTTCCTGCGCCGATTCAAATGTATGCTGCAGTCGGAGTTGTCCTCCGCTACCTCCAAGCTGGCCGACCGTCTTTCGCAGAGATTCGCGAGTTGGGCAACCGACGAACGACCTCGAAGATAAGATGGACGCTGCGGTCACGGTCATAGAGAATCACGAGCAGGATTTGTGCGACCTCAAGAAAGAATTGGGGCGCGCTGCTACGGCTTGAGGATTGTAAAAAAAAAACGAGAATCGTTCCCGCCGTGGCAATCTGCGGTTAAGGGGTATCCGGAAACGGTCGCGGGGGGGGGGGGTGGATCTTACTTCCACTGCTACAGCTCTGTTTCAGGAGCTGACACCAGCATTTGCCCATTGACGCTTGAATTTGACCGCATCCCATCGTGCGTTGGGCCCCAGACGACCGGATGGGCCCCGAGGGACATTATCATCAAATTTTACGTATTACCGCACTAAGGAAACTATTCTCTTGGCGCCAGAAACAACCTGACCTCAGCTTTTCCAGGGGCATCGCTACCAGCTCTTTGCGACCTCTCTCAGACCACTCTTCAGAAACGACGCCAATTGAAGCCCTTCACTTCGGTCCTAGTGAACCACAGTATCAAATACGCTTGGGGCTTCCCGTTTCGCCTCACCTTCACCTACCAGGGCCGCAGTCATTCTGTGGCTACGCCGGAGGAGGCCCATTCTCTCCTGGAATCCTTACACCTTCTTTCGCCTGAGGCTGCGGATCGGAGCCTGGCACATTCATCAGGATCCCCGGCAAGGCCGCTTCTTCCAAGCCGCATCTGGGAGCGGTCGTCCAATAGGAAGAGGCCCTCCCTCAGACCCCTTCACGATCAAGTCCTTCCTGTTTCTTCTCCGGGCTGAAGATGTGTCTTGGACTTCCCATGTATTCATCTCACCGATGGACGTCCTTGACGGACCGTGAGTTTGGCCCTTAGGGCTCCCCCAGTTTGTCAGCATTACGGGTTGGGACTGATATAGTGTGCCCCCCTTGGGTTCCTTCCCTGGTTGGGGGGGGGTTTCTCCTCATGGACTCAAGAATTATGACTTTCTGCTGTTGCAGCCTATTTTGGGCAATGGGAGATGGTATTCCAGTTTTTGTTGGTAGCATGGAGTGAGGGTCCCTCTGGTTTCGGGTGGAGAGGTTGATCTGGTAGGCCCGGGCATGGGTGGGAGGGGGTTGGCCCCATGGTTCTCTGGGTTGCTATGGGGAGGTCATCACGGTTGCCTAGCTCCTGGGACCTTTAGTTTTATTGCTTTTGGTACCCGTTCTATTGTGTTTATTGCCTTATTGCCCTTTTGCCCCCGGGGACTTATGTTTCTGATGTTTCCATTTGCAGCCATGTGTGTCCGGTGGTAGAGCCACCCCTAACTGGTATCCTTCATTTGTAGGATGCACGTCACCATTGGCGTGACACGATTGCACTATTGTATATTCTTTTTGTGTCCTTTTCCTTCTTTCTTTCTTTGTTTTTTTTTCTTCTTTGGTGTTTTTTTGTTTTTGTGTTTCTGCAGGGTTCGGGATGCCACGTCCGATCGCCATTGGGAGCGGAAATTGCTAGCTGCTTTATGGTTTGTTCTGCTGAGCGTGTTGCTCTGATGCCGCCATGGCCTCGCCCCTTTTGAAAATTCATTCGCAAAATGTTCAAAGGCTTCAATTCGCCTCAGAAGCGTGCTAAAGTTTTTCATCACCTCAAATCGCAACAAATTGATTGGTATTTGTTTACAAGAGACCAGGTTTTCTCAGTCCTCCGCCCCACGTTATCTTTCACCTCACTATCCCACCTTTTACACGGCCTCGGCTCCTGAGAACGTCGGGGTGTCCTGATCGCTTTTAAAACGCAATCTCCCCTTTGTCTGTGCTAGGAATATAGCGGACCCCACAGGCAGGTATCTGCTTCTGCAAGGCACCCTGGGACCAGGAGGTTTACTTTTGTCTCTTACTACGCGCCTAATCGTTTTTCAGGATAAATTCTTTCACATCTTTGCACCATTGTTTCCCGACACTCTAAGGGTCTCCTTGTTGTTTGGGGATTCGAATGTTTACTTGGATTCCGCAATGGATAGGCGCTGCGCACGGGGGGCGGCCCCTCTCATGACTTGGCGCTGGAGGAACGTATGTGCTCTCTCCTGCGGACAGCGGGCTGGCGGACGTCTGGAGGGAGCTTCACCCAACGGAACGGGACTTTACATTCTATTCCAGTCCTCATGATAGTTTTTTTGTAGAATTGATCATATATTTATGCAGGTTCAGCAGCTTCCCTTGGTCAGGCGGATTAACTATTCCCTCCTCGCCTTGGTCGGATCACGATCCCTTGTACTTCTCCTTGCCCTCTCTGGGTCGGAACGGCGCCTTTTCATTGGCGCATCAATGATTCTTTATTGACCACTCAGGCTACCTGCCAACAATAGAATTTTTTTTTACGAACATACTTTACGGAAAACGCGGGATCGGGTCTCCTCTGCAGTGTGCCCCTATGGGAGGCGCATAAGGCCACGGTGCGGGGGTCATGTTATACAGCTGGCGGCGGTCCGGAAGCGGGAGCGGGAGCGCCGACTTTTGGAGCTCATTCTCTCCTGTCCTCTGCGGATGCGCGTTGGAAGTCATCTCCATCCGCGGCCCATAACGCGCTCGGGACGCTCTGGCGGCAGAGTTGGACTTACTTGCCTCTTCAGAGGCAGAACGGGCCCTGCGCTGGACCAAACACAAATTTTATTCCTGTGCTAATAAGCCGGGCCCGATGCTGGCCAGGAAAACTCAATTCTGTGGGGAAACCCCATAAACCGATTCGACTGCGACTTCCTACAGGTGGCTGTACTTCTAATCCCCAGCAGATTGTTTTCCCATGTTTCTCAGACTTCCTTTCACGCCTCTACGCTAAACCAGATCCCTTCCCCGTGGCTCAGGCAGAGGCATTCTTTCAAGATCTCCGACTTCCTGGTTATCCGAGGCGGCACAGGTGGCACTCAACGCCGGTGTCACTGTACCAGAAGTGCTCCAAGCTATCAAATCTTTACGGTCCACCGCGCCCCAGGTCCCGACGGCTTTTCCGGTCTTTATTATAAGAAATTCTCAGCCTGTTGGCGCCCTTTTTGGACTGAGTATTTTAATGCGTTACGACAGGGCTCCTCGCCCTCTCCATGATGCGTAGAGCGCATATCGCCATGATTCCTAAGACGACTGATGATTGTACAGGAACCGCAAGCCTTCCGGCCTATTCTCTCTTTAATGAAGACCTGAAGATACTGGGCAAGATCCTTAGTTTTCGCATTCAATAAATATTTGCGTAGCCTGGTCCACAGGGGACCAGGTGGGGTTTCGTCCCCGGGAGGCAGGGCGGGGGTGATAACGTCGTAAGGTGGTCCATCTTATACATTTTCTGCAACAACGGAAATATCCCAGGATTCTTAATGTCTTTAGACAACTATAAAAGCTTTTGATTCTCTATCCAGGGAATATCTGCGGTTTGTGCTGTCTGGTTGGGTTTTGGGGATTCTATTCTTTCTTGGATCCAGGCTTTGTATTCTTCTCCTTCGGCCTCCGTCAAATACGCTGGTATTTTTCAGATCCCTTTCCTATGGCGAGGGACAAGACAGGTTGGTCCCCTGTCCCAGCGCTCTTTGTCCTGGCGCTTGAGCTACGCTTGGCTTTAGCGCTTCGGACCGATTGCAATGTATCGGGGGGTTCCATACGAGGGACAGGAATTCAAACTGAATCTTTTTGCGGATGAATGCCCTCCTGACTTCTTACTAACCCCCTGACGACGTTCCTAATTTGCAACAGGTTTCTTGAGCGCTTCTCCTTGATTTCGGGTCCCCCTCCCGTATCAACTTGGATAAGACTATAACCCTCAATATTACTTTGGCTTCGGATTTGGTTTCGCCGCCTACAATGCCCACTTCCCTTACAAATGGCTTCCTCTTCTCTTGAATACTTAGGCGTTCGCTTGACCCCCACTTATGACTCCTTGTTTGCTGCAATTATTATCCATTGCTTAGCTCTCTATCCTCCTCTTATGCATTCTTGGCAATTTCCGCACATGTCTTGGATAGGACGGGTTAATTCGGTGAAAAAGACCATCTTGCCGAAATTGTTGTTATTATTTTCGCACACTCCCGGTGCGGGTTCCCCCTCATTTTCTTAGGTTGCTTCAGGCGAAGTTAATGCCTTTTATCTGGGCCGATAAGCACCCACAGAGTATCCAAAAGTACGCTTTTTGCCCATAGGACTTCAGGGTGGTCTTGGGGTGCCTAATGTGACTAAGTATTAGTCAAGCGAGCCAGATTGCCCCGCTGTCTATGTTGCACGCCTCTTCCGACGTCCCCCTCTGGGTCCTGTTGGAACTACCTAAC